ATGTATCGCAGGTACAAGAGAGGTTTGAGTGGGTAGGAGTTTAGGAAACGTTGTTCTAAATCTGCCATGAAGATGTTGGCATACTGTGGGGCCATGCGGGTGCCCATTGCTGTGCCGCTGATCTGAAGGAACAGGTCATCACCGAATTTGAAGTTGTTGTGGGTAAGGACAAATTGGCAGAGTTTGGTGGCAAAGTCCGCTGTGGTTTTATCTGAAATGGTGTTCCTTATAGCTTGTAAACCATCGTTGTGTGGGATGTTGGTATACAGAGATTCCACATCCATAGTAGCTAGTATAGTATTGTTGGGAAGATTATTTAAAGATTGTATTTTCCTCAGGAAATCTGTGGTGTCACGTACATAGCTGGGAGCACTGATGGCATATGGTTTCAGAACAGTGTCCATATAACCGGAGACACCCACTGTGATAGTGCCAATACCTGAAATGATGGGGCGTCCTGGATTTCCTGGTTTGTGTATTTTAGGTAGAAGATAGAAAGTTCCTGGTCGAGGTTCTGTTGGTGTGTTGGTGAGGATCTGTTCTTGGATGTGTGGGGGTAGCTCCTTAACAATCTTGTTCAGTTCTTTTTTGTATTCTTGTGTGGGGTCTGAGTCCAATTTTATGTAAAAGGCGGTATTGGAAAGTTGTCTGTGAGCCTCCTGAATGTAGTCAGTTTTGTTCATGATGACGACAGCTCCACCTTTGTCTGCTTCTTTAATTATAATGTCTGGGTTGTCCTATGTAGTTGGCATCAGTGACGTAGCATGGGTTGCCAGTGCTTGGGACTGCACGGAGGGTTGGGTGGGTTGGAGGGAAACAGATGGAATACCCATGTGCATTCAGCTGCTGCCCTAAGGTGCCTGCGTCACTCAGGAGGTTGCAGCCTCAGAGTCATTCTTTTGTCTGCAGAAGTCAATTCCTGGTTCGCATAGAGAAGCCGTTTTCAGAGGAGTCCGGCAATGGTAGCTGTCCAACACAGGGTGTTGAAATTTTGCACCCCTAACAAATTTTGCACCTGGGGCAACCGCCCCAGTGTTCCCCCCATGCAACTTCACTGGTTTGAATGTAGCCTGCTGTTTACCTATGGCTCCACCCAAATTTTCCCTAGGAAATGTGGCCCCAGAGGCTGTGGCTGAAAAAGGTTCCTTATCCTGTGTATAGAAACAGTGAGCTCAAGGTTTTCCATTCCTGGCTGACTTTGTGTTAAGGAAAAATTCAACAACCCTTTATGTTACCTGGAGGGTTTACATTCACTTCATGGAGAGATGTGGGCATCAACTGCTTTGAGCCTCACGTGGAAAATGCCCTTAGTTTCAATGACTCTTTGCTGTTAATCTCTACCTTTTGTGTTGTCAGAAGGCACTTGACAAGGATCAAGTTGTGGTGTCTCCCATATGTTCCATTAGCAGCTGTGGTGGTGATAAATTTGAGAACCTCTTCTGGATTAGTTCAGCGTGTTGAATGTGTGTAGTTGGCTGTGTGGCGATAGGTACTACATGGGATGTTGTGAAGCAGTGATTTCTCATAGTGTTTGAAACTTGTGGGCAGACTCTTCACAATGACCAAACTTACCAGGGAAAGCAGGAAATGTGATATCACCAGGAACGGAGCAAGGAGTGATCCTTTTTCAAACAAGCAAGCACAAACTATAGTTTGTCAGTTATTTTCTTTAAAAGAAATTTTATTAAGACTTCTCATAATGCACCAAAAAACAAATGAAGCGCAAAAAAGGAAAAAGAAAGACGAAAAAGAATTAGAAGAATGCGAAGTCTTCTCTCACAGGTATATCTCAACTTTTCTCCCAGAGAAACAAACAAAAAAGCGAGCCGTCTTACCTATCACCTGGGAGCATCCCTTTCTTTCCCCAGCCTCTCTGATGTAATTGCTCATTTTCTGTTACCCACAAATTAACACTGGGGTACCAGTTAGGTAAGAAGAATTATGTTTGCCTTAGGTGCCAGGCAGTAACTCATGGACGCTAGCATGCGTGGGGCACAGGCAGGAGCGGGAGAGAGCACATGAACATGAGGCCTGTACCCAGGCCGGCAAACCATAGGAACATAGGAATCTGCCTTATACTGAGGCAAAACATTGGTCCATCTAGCTCTACTACACTGACTGCATCAGCTCTCCAGGGCTTCAGTCTTTCTTAGACATACCTGGAAAGGTTGGAGACTGGACCTGTATGCAAGCCATGTGCTCCACCCCTGAGCTACGGCTTTCCCCCAACACTGATTGGGAGAACTGGAAATGTTATCTGTGAATCAAAGCAGTGGAAGAGGAGCCTGGGGTTTAGAAATGGCACCTAAGAAAAAGCAGCAGCCTGCTGGATCAGATTTAAGCTCCATTGAGTCCGCCATCTTGGGTTCCCAAAAGTGGCTTGCCAGATGCCTATGGGACACTCACAAGCAGCGCATGATGGCAACAGCACTCTCCTGCTTGTGATCCCAGCAACTGGTACTCAGAAGTGTGTGCTTGAACTTGGAGGGCATGTTTAGTCATTGTGCCAAAAACCTGTTGATTGGTCTGTCCTGAATTTGCAGAATTCTAGAGTTCTCACCATGTACTTTCTTTTTTTTGCCCAGAATCTGTTTCCATATCTTGCTTGGAAATAGCAAACATTTTGTTAGTGTATGCTGACTATTACAGAAAGTTCAGTGCTCTTTTGGGTAGTAAGATGATGTGTACTAGTAAGAAAACAACACACACACACACACACACACACACACAGAGCATCCAAATGTGATGTTCCTCCTTAGTCATATGCAGAAATTAGAATATTACATTTTTGAAACATGAGCAAGGTATGTCTTGAGCACATTTTGAACAGGAAAGTAAGCTTACCCATAGTGGCTATAGTTCTCTTTTTGTCTGTCTTCAGTAGATCTTCTGTAATGTTTCCTCTTTACTTCTGATGTGTTTGGAAGGCTCTAAACTCCATACTCTTGAGTATGACCAAGGTGGAATCTAGACACATATAAAAAACGCTGTGGAAATGCTTAAACAAACAAACACGGTTTGAAAAATATATTGAATTTACCATGGCTCACTGTTGCCATCTAGTGCCACATTTGTATAATGCACTTTACAACACACTTAAAACGTTTTATTTGCAGCTGTATAGCTGATTCCTTAGTCAGAAATAACCCATAATAACTTCCTTACTGCGTCATACTCAAGGTTCATCTCTTCAAACACGTTGACTAAGCACTTGTTCCCAAGCAGTCAGTGCTTCTCAGTTGCCAATGTCAAAACAGACATTGGTATAATTGGCAAGCCACAATGGGCTCCTTCCTCATTAAAATGAGGATTTTGTTCTTAAAGGCTTCCATACAGGCTTCAACTAGCAGTCTTTTTAGCAAAGCAGCCATGCTTGGTCAAATAACCCTCTAATTTACCGACAAGTGAGAGTCAGCCAGAAAGCCTTTCCAGAAATACTTACGGTAACTATGCAGTAGTTCTTGGAATTTGGCCATTTCCTTCTCCCATGCCTCACTTCTTCCTCTTTATAAAAATTCCTTCTAAATATTTCCCATGGCTTTGTTTTTTTCAGCACAGCACATGTCTTTAAGAATGTGACAGATTGTATTTTGCCTGGAAAACCATAGAGAATGCTTACTGCCTTTTATCCCCCTCTGTTGTGTGCTGAAGTATATTACACATGTACTTTATCTGTACAGCCAGTCAAGGCCGACCCTGCCGTTAGACAGTGTGAAGTGCCTGCCTCAGGCAGCAGATATTGTAAGGCAACAATGGCATCAGTTTCAACTTAATGACTAATTCTTCTGAACTGATTGAAGTGAGATTCAGCTGTCACTCTCTAGCCAGTCTCTGTATATGGAATGGGAAGAAGGGGTGCCATATTGTCTGACTTAGCCAGCAAAATGTCTCTAGCTAGCCTTATAACCAGCGTGGAACAGAATTCTATGGATTTGTTGAAGTGTGTTTCAGAATAGCTATCTGATAATTAGGTCATTCACTATCAGTACAAATATGATAAAGGAACCTCTTGGCGATTGTCCATATACAGAACAATTTGCTGGGATCTTGCATTTATCTCATAAATTGGACCATTTGCAGAAAGCATGCATAAGCAGCCATATAGACTTCTTATGAGGTAAGTTGCTGGGATAACCTGTACATGAGCCATTGGGGCAGATGAAAAGTTTCCTAGCTGTGCCTACAAGGACATGACATAAGAGTTTTTTTTGTGAAAATATAAAAACTGCTAAATCCAGCTCTCTCACCAGACTACAAATCCCAGTGCTTTTAATTATTGTTATTTCAGAACCATACATATTACAAGCATATACAATTTCAGTGTATATAAGAAAAATGATATTAATCAATTAATTCATATTGATTAATTCACTAGCAACCTCAAACCTGACATTGCTTGGGAAGTCAAAGGGGAAAAAAACACCTTTGCAGTTTTGAGAAAGTTCAGTAGAAAGTTCAGTTTGCCATCTTTATACAGAGTTGTCTCTAATTGTATCCAAACATAGACAGAAAACTACTGCTTGATCTCCAGAAGCGTCATGCAAAATTTTGTTATGATATCTTAGTAGGGATCCAAATGTACAGCAGCAGGCAGCTTCCCAAAATATATTGTAGGTAATTGCTTTAATCATTAATCATTGTTCCCAGTATTCTTTGTGGGCAGCCATGCCCATTGAAATGGTCAATAACACTGAGATTGGTTTGTACAGTAAATATCCCCCATCTGGGACAGCAAAACCGAAAACACTATTTCCTCATCTGTAAGGATGTTAAATGTGCCAGAATTAGAAATCCCTGTATAAGGGGGTATAGTCAGCTCTTTATGCTGTTCTACAAAACCTCACATTCCCATGGGGAAAAAATCAGCTCAATTATTCAACATCCTTAAATGTGCCTCAGTATGTTTGTGCTGGTGCAAAGTATATATTTTTTTCTGCCGTGCATGTAAAAGAATGCATTGGTTGAATGCTAACCCATTTCACTTTTTTTAAACATTGCAGTCCACTCATATTGCCCGAGCCAGCTTCCAAGTTGATGCCTTTGGATCTTCTTTCATCCTGGATGTAGAGCTAAACCAGTAAGTATATAAATATTTTAATTGATATTTGATTTGCACATTTGTTTCCCCCACCCTTTAGCATTTATGCAATGTATTTTGATATTTTCCAATATTGCTTAATGCTGCTTAGTATTATCTCATTCTTAAAATGAAAAATACTCTCCGAAGTACACATTATTGTGTGCTCGGATCCTGGACTATCACCCCCTAGTCATTTCCTTCCCACTGGTACAGAGCTGGCTTATCGTGATGAGAACAAGTTGTTTTTTCACTTCCATTTTTCATTAACCCCAGATTTCTACCTTACCCCAAACATGTGGTTAATCTTATTTGTAGTTTGTCTGAGGAAAGCCATCATAGGTCACAAAGCTGGCTTGTTTCAACAAACTATCCTTAAGAATAATCAGAGTTTTAGGGTTTGAGCATAGTGCTCTAAACTATGGTTAATAAAAAAAACAGCCTTGTTGCTATCACGATAAACCATGGTTTAGTTGGTGATTCCTTCCATCTCACTCAACTGCCTGTTGTTTTAAAGAGATCCAATGTGCTTAGTGGTTAGAATCCTAGACTAGGACAGGGAGGACACAATTATGCAATTTTTCTGTTATTTGTGTGCCATATTTTAACCTGAATTGCTCATAAGACCATAATAAAGTTTGACTGATATCCTGGCATTGTATTTACTGATCAAATAAAGAAAGACATAAATATAAAAAGAGAACTGACTTACATGTTCATAGCATTGTCAGCTCAGCTCTTCATTTAAGTTACATCTCTCCTCAGACTAAAAAGAAGAAAACTAGTGATATATGTACCTGAATAGTTGATCCCTGTATGAATTATATTGGCTTAAAACAGAGAAGTATTTGTAACAAATGTTTCCTTTGTAACAAATTTAAAACAAAGAAGTATTTGTAACAAATGTTTCCTTTGTTAAGAGAACCTAAAAACAAATAATGAATTTATTCTAGTTTTTCGGAACCAAATACATTATCACTGTCCATTATATCAGTTTCAGACATAGAGAGAAAGAATTCAGTGAATACCTAAGTGAAGCCTGATGTTTCATTATTCATAATCAAATTTCAGAACGTCCACTGCTAAGTTGCTTGCTCTGTTGTGCATAGTGAAAGTATTTTGAAAAAAATACCAGTTGCTCATATTTTACATGGTATGAAAAAAATGACTTAAAAAACAAGCAACTGCTGCGTGATCTGTGAAAAGTTTGATTTTTTAAAAATTCTGTTGGTGAGGAATCCCAGTCCTTACTTGGTGAAAACTGACATACATATTAGTTGAAGAAGTACAAATGATGTTTTGTACCAGATGCAAGATTTGGATTCTGGGTTGAAGGATATGCATTTTCTGGGTTTAATGTAAAGCACATGCAAGGCTGAGTGAGAGCCAGATATCTTATCTTTATCAATGCATTTTTACATATGTGGAGCAGATGAGGGTTCTCTCCTAGATGTCCATTGATTTAGTGCCTGTGATTTGGGGCTGGTTGTAGATTTGCTGCTGCTCTTGCAGGGGTGAAACACTTAAATCTTGCAAGGAAACAGATGTGGGTGAGGGATTTTAATTAGGCTACAACTTCTCAAGATAATCAGATGCATCTGGACTCCAGAATAACTTGACCTGGTGGTTCACATATGCAGCAAATTGATCCAAGGAAACGGAGAGCGCCACATTTGTGATGCCGGGGAAAAAAAAGTAAAACGGTGCCTCTTGTTATTGAAAAACAAAATTACAACGAAAATACATGAATGGATCTCAAGAGTGCTCATAAGAAGAGTCCTGCAGGATCAGGCCAATGGCCCATCTAGCCCAGCATCCTGTTCTCACAGTGGCTAACCAGGTGCCTGTTGGAAACCTTCAAACAGGGCCAGTGCCTCAAGACAGTGAGGTAGCCATTGAGAGCCCCATCCTCCATATTTTTGCTTTTAATTATTAGTTATCCCACAGAGGCACCAACTCTACAGGTGTCTTCAGCCCTGTAAAGTCTGTTGGGATGGGGCTGAAGCCCCCCAAACTTGAGGGCCTGGGTCTTACAGCAGCGGGCCTTGCTGGGCCTCACCATGGCAGTGGGCCTAGTAGGACCTCATGGTGATGTCACATGTGTGCGACTCCCCCCCCCCCATGTTGGGCACTTCTGTTATCCTGGAATAGCTTTTTTTAAGTATTACTGAATTTCAAAGGTTTAATTAAGCTCCCTCCTTGCTAACCACGAGTTGTAGCCAAGAACAAACCTTGGCCACAGCTAGTGCTTTCAATTACGATACGGGCGGATGAACTCTGCCTTAAGGCTCTTCCTGGCAAATAGCCTGCAACATTCGTATTGCAGGGTCATGTGAAACTGCAAATGAAAAACACAATGTGAAGTTTGCCCTGAAGCACTGTCGCCTTCCAGATGTTGCTGGACTTCAGTTCCCAACATCCCTGGCCAACATCTGCAGGGACAGAGGTTCCTCGTGCCTGACTTGCATGTTTAGTGGTAAAAATCAAAGGTGCAGCAAAGTCCAGTGCTAGTCAATCCCGCTGTAAAGATTGTGGCTGTGGCAGCCAATGGGCTGTTTGAGCTTGGCACAAGGAGTTCAACTCTCGTTGAACCTCCATTGCCTGCCAGTATGAACCATAGTTAGCTTGTTACGGTCAGTGATGCGAGGTGGAATTTGCCGTGTGTGGTTTATTTTCCCTTGGAAAATTTTCCGTTTCATAAATTGATTAGAAACGATGAGCTAATTGCAAATAAATACCAGGCCAATTTCAAAGCTGTTAACTTTGTTTACTAGATACAAGTAATTAGATCACTTTCTAGGTCATCAGATTATTTTCTGAAAAGTCTCCAGTGGGTACTGAAAAAATTGTCCAATTCAAAGATTGGACAGGAAGCCCACGCCATTGGTTGCGATGTTTTGATAAAGACGGATACGTTTTCCAAAGCATTTTTGACATGAAAGTTCTATACGGTTAGTGGTGATGATGAAAGGCTCTCTGTAGCTGTTTCCTTCTTCCTGCCTGAGGACTGTAAACGTGAAGAAGTTGCCTGTTGAATGCCAAGTAACTGGTGCGCTAGGATGTTTAGAATCCCAAAAGATGCAAAGCACAAAAGAAGCTGTATATGGTATAAAATCTCCCCTTTCCCTCCTGCTGTCTTCTAAAAGCTCTTTTTAAAAAAACAACACACCCACCCACCACATTTTGGTGTGATAGAGAGTAAGGTTGCTTACTAACTGTTCTGGTAAAATACTCCTGCTACTAATTTGTGTTTCTTACCCATTGAGATAAACAAGTCAAGCACTCAGAGCCTCCAAATAATGTTGTTGTTTGTTTCATTTATGAATCAATTACCACAAGGCATTCAGAAGCATGAGGGACGCGGGTGGCGCTGTGGGTAAAAGCCTCAGCGCCTAGGGCTTGCTGATTGAAAGGTCGGCGGTTCGAATCCCCGCGGCGGGGTGCGCTCCCGCTGCTCGGTCCCAGCGCCTGCCAACCTAGCAGTTCGAAAGCACCCCCGGGTGCAAGTAGATAAATAGGGACCGCTTACTGGCGGGAAGGTAAACGGCGTTCTGTGTGCTGCGCTGGCTCGCCAGATGCAGCTTTGTCACGCTGGCCATGTGACCCGGAAGTGTCTTCGGACAGCGCTGGCCCCCGGCCTCTTGAGTGAGATGGGCGCACAACCCTAGAGTCTGTCAAGACTGGCCCGTACGGGCAGGGGTACCTTTACCTTTACCTATTCAGAAGCATATTGCGGTTCAATAAAAACATATATGAAACAGGTACATGTATAAAACATATAGAACAACTTTTTAAAAAATATATAAAGACAGAAATATATAAAGACAGACGGATGCCAACAACAACATAAAGTTTAAAACAGTGACAGCACTTACATAAAAGCAGTAAACCAGTACAAGTACCAAGTGGGATGAATATCTCCATTTAGAAAGCTTGTTGAAAGAGAAACATTGAAAGACAATAGAGACGGTGCCCATTTGATATCTAATAGGCAGTGAGAGAGAGTTTCGAAACATCGGTGCCACTACACTAAAGGCCTGATTCTGGCATTGTGGAGAGCGGAGCTCCAGATAGGATCCTATCTGCAGGATGCCCTCTGCAGAACTTAGTGATTGGTTGGGTTTGTAGAGGATGGTGTTCATCTTGGTTGCATACAATAAAATTCTCCTTAAAGAAAAGGCTCATCAAGCTGATAAGGGGTGCACTAGAAGTTGGGTAGGGGATGGAATCCATCACTTGACTGTCCCTGTAAAGTCTTCTGAAGAGTTTCTTTTATTGAACGGGTATACTTGCATTGCCACTTTTGCATGCTGGGTTGTTTTTTGTTTTGTTTTTAAATGGAATGATTATGCTTTGGCTTCACTATCATGTCATTGGCCTGAACCAAGACAGAAAATTTGGACTGTAGGCTGGGGCAGTCTCATTGCTGCCCACAAAGTGGTTGGAGCCTTGACTGTTTTGTACTGTTTTGACTGTTTTGTACTGTTTTGTACTGCGTGCTCTTCCTAAGCATTTTCTTTGCACATATCCTTTCCATCTCAAAGCAAAAATTAAGATGCTTATTTTTAGGATGAGTTTATAGTATGGTTACAGTTCGTCTGCGATTGCTAGTACAGTATCACTTGATTGCGGGAATCTGTGAAAATGTATTGTTCAGAGCCACTAGACACAACCACTTGAGGTGATTGTTGCTAACTTACCACTTAGTATTTTCGCCTCCATGGATAACGTTCTGTTGTGGTTCGAGGACCCGATCCCCCCCCCAAAGTGGAATGAATACACAAGGACACGTGATATAAGGTTAATGGGCAAGAAAAGGCCACAACTTTATTGATTACAGCAAGTGAAAAGGTATTGACTTAGGCATTGGATTACGTCAGCTGACTCCACCCCCTCAGAGAGGGGTGAGTCTGAAACAAGGGGGGTTTATTCACCAGTAGGTGGAGCCTGTTGATGCTAATCCAACTATAGGCTCTCCCCTGATGTCACCGAGGGTCGTG